TTTTCCATCAGTTCTTGGATTACGCTACATTTCGCTACATTTTGGATACGCTGCGTTTCTAGTTTTCGTTCATGTGCATTTGTTACTTTATAGGTTCGAGCCAAACATTCACTAATAGAACATGGTATTCTGGTGGACCAGCTTGGTGGTGACGTCTTATCTGCCGAAATATCTGCATTGCAAGGCACAAATATAGATGTTTTAAAGGTTATTAATAAAAGCCTTCTCATCGTGCTCGGACGTTCTGCTTGCCGTTATGGGGCTCGTCGGCCCAGCTTTTTATTCTTTTTGTGCTGCAGCAGTTGCACAGAACGCATATTGTCGAAGCCCCGTCTGTTTTTGTGTATTCCGAATGCATTTTGTTCGGGGGTTTCAACTCTGGGACCGTAGAAGCTGGGAAGCTGAAATTTTGGTAGAATGTTTCCCATCTGCGTGTGGCCCTGAAAACTTAAATTCAGTGTCATGTTCGATCTTACGAAAGTTTTAAAGGGGAGAATTATTGCCTCGAGAACTACGGAAGCTGGGAAGCTGAAATGTTGTGACAATATCCCTGTTCCGCTACGACCTAACAGTTTTGAACTAAGCCGTCCCGTGCGCTCGGGTATTATGTACGACCCCGTGAAAGTTTTGGCAAGGGAAACTACTATATTAGGGAGCTAGGAGGCTGAAATTTTGGGGTGATGTTCCTGCTCACATATAACCCCGCGATTTCTGCGGGAACGGGGGACATTCCCTTAAAACTTCATGTTTCTAACTTTTCTGGTTCCCGAGCTAGCAGTTTTCCTGACAGAAAATTTCACACGCCCTGTAGGTCAAAGCGTCCGTTTTGGGGACAGGGGCCGTGCATATTTATAAATTAAGTTGCCAGAGTTTCCGCCTTATAGCTTTAATAGATCTGGAGTTGAAAATTCGGTACAAACGCACACACAAACACACAGATAACCCTTCGACAATGTGCGTTTTTGCATTGCATAGATGCAAAAACGCATAAAAATGAAGCTTTAACGGTGTGAAGCCTTAGTGTTTAGATTTAGCTTTCATTTATGAATTTTCGCGCGAGGAATAGCATCGATGTGCATAAATTTTTGCGTGGGAAATATCTTAGCTCCGTTTTAGGGAAAGCTGAAGGTTGTAATTTTAGAACGATGTTTCCTGCCCGCATAATCCTTGAAATTCAAAATTAGTTCTCAGATATGTGTGGTTTTCGCATATGAAAACGCAAAATTTTTGACGAGAGATCTGGCTTACGTATCGGACAAAATCAAAAATAGAAAGTTTGAGACGAATTTTTTCATCCACGTGAAATCCAAGAAATTTAAATCCAGCTGCTTCTCATTTACGGGATGTGAAATTCCAGGTGAAATTACACATTTTTGTATGTAAGATGTAGGGGTGAGCG